CGTCTGTTGCCTTCCCATCTTGTTCTTTGTCTTCTTCAGCCCATTCTTTTAACTTTCTAAAGTTCTTTGGCGACCATATTTCTTTTGTGCTGAAGATTTATTTATTGTCATCACTCAGATGCCCTTTCTCCTTTCTGTTATTAGCTTTCTCTCTCTCCCCTTCGCCATCGCATTTTCCTTCCCAGCTTCCATTTTCTATATCCATTTTTTTTTTCCATTTCCCTTTCTTCCCCTACATTACCCTCCTTTCACCATGTAATCTGATAAAAGGAGAAAATATAAATAGAAGAAAAGCAAAAAAGAGAGAGAAATAAAGAAATCAGTTTTTAATTCCTCTTTGGTCTCTTTTCAGGTAATATTGGTGAGGACACACTTACGCTCGTTCAGTATTGCTTGTCACACGCCACACGGTAAGCGCCTCTGCTGACGTGACGGTAAGTACGTTTGTATGTTGATGCTGTGAAGGTCGCGTCGGCAAGAACGTTATGCTGTGCTCCGGTTGGCGTTGGTCGTAGCGTTTGGTGCAGAGGCTGGAGGTAGGAGGCTACGCTTTGTGTGGGCGCAGCTTTTTGATGGATGAATTTAGTTCGACTTGTAAAAGGTGAGTCGCTATGAATTCGAGGTGTTCCATTCTCGCCCCCTTTGTTGTTGTCCGAATAGAAGAGAGCTTTATAAAGGGGAGAAGAGAGAAATTGGAAGGAGATTTGAAGTAGCGAGAGTGCAAAGAAGATCCCCAGGAATAAGACGAAGAATACAAAGGAGAAAGGAAGATGATGTAAGGAAACGCGTGAAGGAGAGGAGGCAAGAGTAATCGTAAACGAGAGGAAAGATGCAAAGTAGTATAATCAAGAAAAAGTATGTGAATAAATAATACCAAGACAAGAATGAAAATAAAAGGTAAACAACCAAAGGGAACTCGTGTTGAATCGAGCCGTCGTCCCACGCCAGCGAGTGGCGTCGCCGGCATCCTAACATGTTTGCGTAGCGCCCGTCCGGTCTGGCAGCCAGGTACGGAGGGGCGAGCAGGTGCACGATATATATCTCATGAGTTGCACGATCGTCTGCTCTCTTTACTCTTCCTTTTCGTCCTCCCCCTCCCTTCCTCCGCCCTCCGGCAGGTGGTCCTATCGGTGTTCCGAGCCATCTACGAGAGAGAGTGGGCGTTCGTGAGCCTTCTCGACCCCTCGCTCTATAATGCAAGGTTTTCTTTTCATTTGAACCATGATTACCATCTATTACTTTCGCTCTTTTCTACGTTGGGAAGAATATGAAGGCGATGTACGCCGACCGTAGGTCCAGCGGTGGGAGGGCCATCACGCGGCCGCACACTTACGGCCCTCGCGCGGCGCGACGACGGTGTGGGTGGTTACTATGGAGACGAGCCACGGCGGGCAGGCGAGCGAGGAAGAGCGAAGAGAGGGACGAGGAGGAGGAGAACGAGAACGAGATGAAGGAGGAGGAGGAGGACAACGACGACGACAACGACAAGTAGTAGAACGAGGAGGACGAGGATGAGGAGAGGAGGAGACAGAAGAAGATAGTCGGGGAGGGAATGACAGTGAAAGGCGAAGGCGAGGGAACGGGGGGAGGGGCAGGGACAGCCAGGGAGAATTAACATCAAATGTTGCTAAGGGAAGGGGGGGGGGGAGGTCTAGTGAGGGAGAGGTGGAATAGTGTTTGTAGCGTATAGATTGTACGAAGGGAGCGTGGTTGAGGAGAGAGAGAGAGAGAGAGAGAGAGAGAGAGAGAGAGAGAGAGAGAGAGAGAGAGAGAGAGAGAGAGAGAGAGAGAGAGAGAGAGAGAGAGAGAGAGAGAGAGAGAGAGAGAGAGAGAGAGAGAGAGAGAGAGAGAGAGGGGGGGGAGAAGACGGACACAGCTAGACAGTTATATTACGCTCAATTACGCTGCTTATTGAGCTTATAGTTAAAACACAGGGGCCAGTATAGTACTGTATACATAAACACTAAAGTTGTTTGTGTAAGCGCGCGGGTCGGAGATTAAATCGATGTTGTATAAATGACAGCGACGTCTGTTCCCGCCCTCGATTCGTGCACGGAACCCATGCCATTGCCAGGGTGTGTGTATCCTTAAGTGCGGGACACACTTGGGCCGCCCGACCATTAGCTGGCGGCGACGGGAGGGCGAACCTGGCTGGAGGGAGGTTATGGAAGAGCGAGCTGTCTGTCCGCTGGTCATTCAAGTGGCGATATAATTGGCAAGAATTAAGTCTTGACAGTAGCTTCCTGGATTAATCAATCTTGGATTTTAATTTTGTCGGAAATGTAGCTACCTTCTTCGCTAAGTTGGAAAGGGGAAATTCTGGGCTTTATTCTCTCTTTCAGCTTCATGAATAGTGACCAGCTCATAATGGCCTGTTATCGGTGAGGAGAAGGAGCCTGCTCGCTGGGTATTCATAAGTCCTCCTTTATTCAACTTTCTGTGCATGGCCCAGCGTCAGCACTTTAGAATGAAGACATACGGTCAAAATTGAAGGCAGTCCTACTCTTCCTAAATATCAAAAAAAAATTATGGGTATATTTTATTTCTTTGTTTGTGTGTATGTGTGTTTATCTGCTTTATCAGCTTGGTAGAGCGCTTTGCCTCGGCCCGCCTCCTTCCCCCCGGCTTGAGAGACGAACTCGCAGCGGCAGGTCTCGTGCGTCCGCGAGAAAGTCTCTGGAGCGGGATATCGGCATTTATTGTTTCCGTGAGAAGTCAAATGTGCGAAAAGTCAGGACGCCGCCAAGTCCCTTTTATCTCGCGTCCGCATTTCGTCAGCATCGCCCGTGGCTTCGTTGCAGGGAATTGGTCCAGATCAGAAGATTTGTGTCAGATTTATTCATTCCATTGTTCGCTTTTATGAAAGGATGGACCTCGTTTGATGGGCTCTGTAGTCCAGGCGGTACTTGTCTGGCAGAGGCCGGGTAGGCGTTGGAGGAAATTATTATTTTCTCATCATGTATATCATATATATCCCTTCATTATACTGTATTTACCTGTACTGCGAGTTTACTTTCGACTGCATTGTTCTCTTTGGAAACCCAAAGACCTCTCCCAGCAATCGGCATCCACAGCTATTCCATTTTCAGAAACCAGGGCAATATTTTTCAACTAGATTTCCCTACGACTCTCATTGGCCAAGGGACGTCTCGCGGGAGATGTCCTTATGCCGTCTCGGCGTCCGTCTGCCTCAGTCGTGCGAGTCCGTCTCCGTCCTGATTCTGCGGCCTTCGTGCCTTCGGGGTTGTTTGTTGCCTCCTTTGCCTCGTTAGCGAGAATATGACGCCGGGCGACTGGAAGGGCGGCAGGGCGGGCGGACGCCCCTCTTGATGTTCCTTCTTGTTTCCGTTGTGACTCGGGACCGTGGCTGTGTCTCGTCAATAATCGGGCGCTCGGGCTGAGGCCTGCTCTTCCGCCCTGCGTCGTTTGCACGCTTTGCTGCATGGGAGCTCAGGGGGAAGTGCAGGATGGACGCTTCAGAAGTCCCTTTCTCGGCCAGGGGCCAGGGAGGTATCGAAGGCA